CTCTGCTTTCTGCACGGACCTCACAGCTGTTCTCACTGGAAACATCGCGTCACGATGAAAGCAGTTACTAAAATAATATCCAGGGGATGCATGCAGAGCTGTCATTGGCTGAGATCAGTCCGGCCGTGCGTCACGACTCTTTAGAGGTTTCTCAATACTCAAATTTCCCCTCCTCGACTCCTCGACTCCTCGGTCCTCCGGTAGTGACCCGGAAATGAATTTCAGCGCGCCATTTTGAAGGACATCTAATTTCTCTAAATGCACACCGAGCATCGAGCGTCGAGGAGGCTCTCTGGAGGAACTATAACCGAGGATACACTGATGGTTCCTCCACGGCTCTTCCACGGATGCATTTCCGGGAACGGTGGAGGCGTGACGCACGGCCGGACTTATCTCAGCCAATGACAGCTCTGCATGCATCCCTTGGATATTATTTTAGAAACTGCTTTCATCGCAACGCAATGTTTCCAGAGAGAACAGCTGTGAGGTCCGTGCAGAAAGCAGAGCAGTGTGTATAATATATATCACTCAGTAGAACAGGCCTACTCTCTTTATTTGCTTTAGTTTAGTAGATATCTACAAACAAAGAGTCGATATTTTTCTAAGACCATTTAGTGCTTCACATAATAAAATACACAACGGCTGTAGCCTGATTATGCTTTAGGAGCTGTAGGTGTGTGTGGTACAGTGTGTAGGTGTGTGTGTGGTACAGTGTGTAGGTGTGTGTGTGGTACAGTGTGTAAGTGTGTGTTGTACAGTGTGTAGGTGTGTGTGTGGTACAGTGTGTAGGTGTGTGTGGTACAGTGTGTAGGTGTGTGTGGTACAGTGTGTAGGTGTGTGTGTGGTACAGTGTGTAGGTGTGTGTGTGGTACAGTGTGTAAGTGTGTGTTGTACAGTGTGTAGGTCTGTGTGTGGTACAGTGTGTAGGTGTGTGTGTGGTACAGTGTGTAAGTGTGTGTTGTACAGTGTGTAGGTGTGTGTGTGGTACAGTGTGTAGGTGTGTGTGTGGTACAGTGTGTAAGTGCGTGTTGTACAGTGTGTAGGTGTGTGTGTGGTACAGTGTGTAGGTGCGTGTTGTACAGTGTGTAGGTGTGTGTGTTGTACAGTGTGTAGGTGCGTGTTGTACAGTGTGTAGTGTGTGTGTGTTGTACAGTGTGTGTGTTGGTACAGTGTGTAGGTGTGTGTGTGGTACAGTGTGTAGGTGTGTGTGTGGTACAGTGTGTAAGTGCGTGTTGTACAGTGTGTAGGTGTGTGTGTGGTACAGTGTGTAGGTGCGTGTTGTACAGTGTGTAGGTGTGTGTGTTGTACAGTGCGTAGATGCGGCGGACAGACGGGTCTCAGTTGGTTTGGTGTCCTCTGATTACTTTTAATACTTGTAAATACAACTTTTGGCCTGTAATTTCAATTCCCCATTTCAGCGACCAGAGAGAGGGGGGGATATATCCAGTCTCTGATTGTGTTACGTTATGAGAGTGCTCTCATACTTGTTTGATTCTGAAATTGTATATATTTATATACATATTTGTGTGTGTGTGTGTGTGTGTGTCCGCATCTGTAGCCTGTTATTGTCTCATTATACCGCACTGTGAATGAATCAAAGTAAATATATAAGTCATCATGAACACATGCTGTGCCTTCTGTCATCATTAATGGACGTCTCTTTAAAATGACCGCTCAGAGGAGAGGAGTTCTCATTTTTCTAACCGCCTGCTGCTTCCCCTCCTCAGTCCTCCGCTCGCATCTCCTGTGGGCGGCACCAAGTCTCGAGGATAGGAGTCGAGGAGGGGAAATTTGAGTATTGAGAAACCTCTTTTGAAACATCTCTGTTCCCGGAAATGCATCCAGGAAGGAGCCGTGGAGGACCCATCAGTGTCTCCTCGGTTAGAGCTCCTCCAGAGAGCCTCCTCGACGCTCGATCCTCAAAGTGCATTTAGAGAAATGAGATGTCCTTCAACATGGCGCGCTGAAATTCATTTCCGGGTCACTACCGGAGGACCGAGGAGTCGAGGAGGGGAATTGATGAAATGAGAAAGGGCCATGATGTTGCCGGGGGGGCTTGATTACACCAGAGCTACATTGTTTCATTTAAATTGACCTGCTGAAGGGGCTGATGGGAGGGAGCGTATATCCTATATATTAAGGTTGCATAATTTAGAAGAGAAGTTAACTGAGAGGTCAAAGTAGGGGAATTAGAGAGAGTAAGAGTAAAGCGTTGTCCCTCTTCCTCGACTGATGAAACTAGATCAAATCAAACTTTTTTCACACTGCACTTTTCATACACAATAGTTCTTCAGAAAACATAAAACAAAAACAATACTACAAGGTAATGGAGTCTTATACAATAGTCTCATAAAGTATACCATATTTGGAAATCTGATTAATAATTAGTTTAATAAATGACCATATTATTGTTGAAGGATTTCAGAATGATTGGATAGTAGAGGCAGAATTCAACAAATAGCAACACGATGCCTGATGTATTCAGTCATTAAAAAGTACAGCCACAGAGCATCTGTTATCACTCATAAAGCAGCTGTAAGTGTGTTTCATATCAATCAATCACAGAAAACATTGGTAATGCAACTTACAAATATTTAACTAAAAAAAACGTCACATTAATTAACAAAATAAAAAAATAAAAATCTAGTTTCAGGGCAGATTGAAACATTAAGGAAAAGAAATGTCTTTGAGTGCAAAGACATTTCCTTTCCTTAATGTTTCAATGGATAATGTGTCAGCAGCTGCATGTCAATAGTTAACACAATGTATGAATTTATTCAGAATTGACTTTCTCGTTACCATTCACAAGCGCAGCAAATATTTTGGGCTAAAAATGTAAGTGGTGCTGTGTAATAAAGTCTTAACTACCTGAGGTTTGATATACAACTTTTAACCCTTGTGTTATGTTCACATTTCGCACCCTTTGGTAATGTTCGGGTCAAATTGACCCGGGACATATTTCAGGGTTTAAAAAAAATACAGAACTAAATTCAACATGCACAATTCCTTATATATATTGTCTTTAACTCATTCCCCAACAATATAAATGAAATATATGATTAGTTTTTGAAAATACTCTTTGCTAGATCAAATGTAACAATGGAAGTGTCCATTGTTTTTTGTGATAAAAATGTAATTTATGTTAAAAAAAAGACACTGTAATAAAAACTAAGTTGACATTTTGCTCGTGCTTTTCTAGGACTAATGTAAATGAAACATGTTTTCATTAATGTTTATTATCTTTAATCTGTCATATCATAATGTGACAGATCAAAGCCCTGAAGGAAATAAAGCAATTTATCAGCAATTGGAACTCAAGAACCACATCCAAAAGTATTTGGCTGTGAAATATAGAGAGAATGAAACATCCATATCAATGACATAGAACAGATACAAACACAAAGCAAATAAAAACAATTAACAGTCACTATTCATAAAATACAGTATATCCGAAAACTATATTGATGAAGTGACAGAACATCATGTGAGTCAATGGGCAGGTCCGTTTAGGAAACACATGATGTGCAGAACTTCTTCGTGTGTATAGCACAGATGTACTTGTTGCAGTTGCTGCAAGTGTCTTTGAGTCCTTTGAGGGTCCACAGACCTCACAGCTGGCTGTGGGGGTCTTCCAGAAGCTGGCTGTGGGGGTCTTCCAGAAGCTGACTGTGGGGGTCTTTCAGAAGCTGACTGTGGGGGTCTTCTTGCGGCTGGCTGTGGGGGTCTTCCAGCAGCTGGCTCTGAGTCAAGTTCATCTTCCAATTTGCTGTCAAATTCTGAGTTTACCTCCAGATTATCCTCATCTTCAGAAATGTCTTCCTGTTCCACTTCACCGTGTTCCTCTAATGCATTCCACTCACTCTCTCCAAGGCTCTTTGAGCAGAATATCTTTTGGCCATTTTGTTGGTAGATAATTGTAGTTCTGCACTATACTGTAATGTGAGGTTATGTCTCTGTTTAGTCCCTCCTCCGGCGTGCAGGTGCGAGGGGGGACAGTGCGAGAAAATGTAAAATGTTTATACATTTCTGGAAGATCTAAAATGTTTATAATGTTCTAGGATAGTTTTGTGTACACACTACAAAGGGTAAAGATCAAGGGAAAACAGGATCAAACTGCTTCTCTATGCATACGATTGTGTGTGTGTGTGTGTGTGTGTGTGTGTGTGTGTGTGTGTGTGTGTGTGTGTGTGTGTGTGTGTGTGTGTGTGTGTGTGTGTGTGTGTGTGTGTGTGTGTGTGTGTGTGTGTGTGTGTGTGTGTGTGTTTTTCTCTGTCTGTCCTGGTATTGTATCTGGGTCAGATTGACCCGAACCTCTTATGAAGGACATCAATTCGGGTGGGCATTTTTTCATAAGTGGAAAAAAATAAAAACAATTCCACATGTCCTTCACAATAAATAAGCCCCGGCCATTGAGTTTCAGGTTGAACGAAAATATCCTTATATTTTTTTTTATTCATTGAATATGGAAATCGGGTCAATTTGACCCGAACACCACACAAGGGAAGACTGGCAACACATTGAGTGTGTGTGTGTTAATGTGTGTCTGTCTGAAAATATATAACTAATCATCATCATCATTTAGAAACATACCTTTACTTTTTAAATGTTGAGCTACAACTATTCCCATACACATGCTCACATTATGCTCCAAAACACAAAAGCAAATTCCTTGAATGTGAAAACCTACATATTTCAATATACTGGATTCTAATTGTATTGTCAGGTAACATCAATGTGGCATATGGATATCATGGTTTTATGAAAGTTAATAGGAAAAACACTGAAATGAAACAGATATGATATCATAAAAACATTCCTCCAATTGTTATTAAGTGAAACGTCGTTCATTTGTGATCCAACAGCAGTGTCGTCAGTAAAACCACAGAAAACAGAAGTCCTTTTCTCTGTTTTTATTCAGCATTACATCACTGCTCCAGACTATTTGTGTGAAATCCAATAACAAACTCTTTTCTCCTCTCCACCACTCTCCATCCACACAGCGCCACATCAACTTTCTGGATCGCCAACCCCAATAACAACCTCATCAACTGTGCTGCTGCAGGCTCCGAGGTGAGATTCTCTCCCCCCCCCCAACACCCCGTCCCCCCATCCCCGTCTCTCCAGGTGGAGGTCTGTCACATTACTGCGTTGCCAGGTCAGATTAATGGCTGTGTATTCCTATTATCTTTGGAATCAAGCAGACAACAGGCACAGGCACCGCCGCTCTTTCACTGTGATCGAGTGCCAATTATGATCGTACTCCTGGGATTTTACAAGGATACGTCGGGCGGAATCGACTCTCATTTATCCTCGCCAATGTAATCACTTTTCTCATTTGCATACCTGCGGAGAACAACAGAAACACAGACAGGCTGACATGTGGTGGAGCTGTACTAATGTGTGGGGGTGTGAACCAAAATATCTCACATGAATCTACACACATTTGCACAGGTTCTATGCTGCTCTACATTCATAGCTAAATCTGGGTCTTGACCAGGAACGTGCAGAGAATGGTAAAGGGGCATCTGCCAAAGTCTTAAAAGGGCAAGGTGGCAATTTGTATTACTTTTAATAAATATATGCATGGAATAACAACTTTAGGTTTAGTTAAAAAGTGGTAGGGACACTTTTTTCAGATTTTAAAAACCGTGGTGGTTTTTAAAATCTACATGAATCGCCCCCCACCAACAATATAAAGTATACAGTATACAGTACATACATACGCTTACTTTTTTTGACAACTAGAGCAGTAAGTATGCCAAAGTGCTGCAAAGTGGGAGCGACAATGGTTTACTATTTTCTATTCATTTATTACAATTATTACTAATATTAAACGTGTCACAGGTTACCAGATATACACCCAGAAAGTGTGAACAGTCCTACAGATTGGACATGTTCTCCTGTGGAAATACAATCTCAAAGTGTACCACTATTTTCAGATTTCTTTTTACAAATTATCCTAATACAAAGTGGTGGGGTCCCCAGCGTTCCCAGTAAAACTTTTTTTTGTTATCTATTTACTTTTATTTATTTACTTAATTTATGTATTTTATTTGTATGTGTCAATCTGGCTTTTAATGTGTGATTGTTTTTGTATTATTTGACTTTAACTATATATTTATTTGTTGTTCCTTTCTTTTCTTTTCTCTTCACTATATCTGTAAAGCGTCTTTGAGCACCTGTAAAAGCGCTAACAAATTCAATCTATTATTATTATTATTTAAATTATACCAATGGGGTTGGTTCAAATACTAATTCATGACAGTTCTTTAATGATACATGCAAAGACATTCAGTATATTTCTGTAAATTCTCCTCACATGTTAACTAGCCCGACTCTCACTCTCTGACAGACAAAAGCTCAGTTCTCCTGTCAGAGATACACTTCCTCTCCATAATCCTCTCACCACCTTCTCCATAAAGACTTCAGGCACGCTGATATTGTACAGCTGAGATACTACTACTATGTGCCAAAGAGTTAGTTGAAATTATTCACATATCATATAAAATACTAAGGTACACAATTATAAAAAGCAACACATTAGTTTTAGATAACATTTATTAGACACAGAAGAGGTTTATTATTAGTTTTTTGCTTCATGTAGATAATGTTATTGATTTGCAAAGAAAGTAAATAAAAAAAAGTGCTAGTTTATACTTCTACCCGACTATATTTAAAAGAGGAAAACATGTAATTTTACTCCACTAAATGTGGCTACTTTTAACAAAATATCTCTAAACATTAAACTAGTGGACTAACTCTTTAAGTCACGAAAGAGCCAAATCATTTAAAGATTTTACACAAATTCAATCAGAACTTTGGTGTCTGCAACAGTAAAATTCAATGCAACAATATTATCTAGAATTGTCACATATATAAATATAATTATAAACACACTAGGGCAGGGGTGTCAAACTCAATTTCATCGCGGGCCACATTGGAATTATGGTGACACTCAAAGGGCCGGTTGTAACTTTAAGACTATATAAATATGTAATATATATAAAATAATGTATTATATTACATTATTGCCTCTGCATTGAATTATTATCGAATAGGGTAATAACTTCATAATTAACTACGTCTGAAAGCAGAAGTCTACGGCAAATAATTGCAAGTCTCTTCGGTGACAATGTCACAAAATGATTTAAAAAGAAAAGCCAAATTCTGGAAAAAAGTTACATTACATTTTGAAGAAAAAAAGTCAAATTCTGAGAAAAAAAACCATATTATATTCTTTGCAAGCTCTTGTGGGCCACAGAAAATGAAGTCACGGGCCGGATTTGGCCCCCAGGCCTTGAGTTTGACACCCCATTTTTCCGCACAATGATTACTCTGAATATTTATTCCACCACTGTCCAATAGGAGGCCCACAGGGCAGGGGCTCGAGCCCCCCGGGAGGTCTATCTTTGCACAGGCCTGCTCTTGACTGTCTCTTCTTATACGTTTGTGTGTGACCCCTCAGGAAACAGGTTTCTGGTTCATCTTCCACCATGTGCCCACCGGCCCCTCAGAGGGCCTGTACTCCCCCGGACGCACCGAACACACCCCCATGGGCCAGTTCACCAACAACAGAGCGCACTCCAACTACAGGGTGAGTCTGAGCGACTGGTGCTGAGAGGGAGGATGGTGGGGGGGGGGGGGGGGGGCTCTGCGACCAGCCTGTATATTTAGCACTAGCCAGATGTTCCAATATAAAACTCTACATTTACATTTTACTAACAATGAACCCTGTAGTCAGCAAAATCATAGCCATGAAATACACTCGGACATACAGTAAGCTAGTTGGTTGCTTAAAGTTTTGGACACTCTTTGAATTCCTCATTGAGCTTTGGGAGTAACGGATTACATGTAACAGGATTATGTTATCAGGATACAAAAAATAAGGTAACTGTATTCCCTCATAGTTACAGAAAAAAGGACCGTAATCAGATTATTGTAACATTTTTAAAAACATTGGGGATAACCAGCAGGATTACAGTGTTAGTGAAACCCAGTGGCGGTTCTAGACCAATTTGACTGGGGGGGCCACTGGGGGCCAGTTATTTTCTGAGGGCGGGCACAATTAAATGCAGGACGAAAAAGAGAACTAGACAGTATGAAGTAACTTGCGCATAAGAAAATAATGCAATACAGTTATTGGTATTTGTTTCAGTACACTTATTTATTTCAGATATATCTTATACTTATTACTGTTAGCTTCAGCTTAAGTTATAGTACAATTTTTGCACTAACACCATATTTATATAAAAAAAAGGCAATGAACAGTTTACATTACATTACATTACATTGCATTTAGCTGACGCTTTTATCCAAAGCGACTTACAATAAGTACATTCGACCAGGAAGACACAACCTTGAAGAAAACAGAATCATATAAGTACATCAGGTTTCATAGAGCCAAACATTTCAAGTGCTAGTCAACTGGCTATAGATAAGCCAGTCCTTTATTAGTATATAAGTGCTTTGTTAAAGTTACATCTAAGTTACATCTCTACTTTACATCTACAATTACACGGATACAATAGTTTAACTCACCTTCAATTATCGTGGTCGTCTCTCGAAACGTAGGTTTCAATTAGTCTTTCATGGATGCAACAGCCTCTGATGATCCAAGATGAAAAGTGTTTGTTTTTCGCGCGCTTCAGCCGGACAGTGAAAGTGAGTGCCCCGCTCTAATGGGTCCGACTAGAATGACGAATAACGTTAGTTCCGTCTATTCCGTCATTCAATAAATCGTGTAATAAATCATACATTTTTCATTGTTTTCACTTTTCATTTTTAGGGGGGCCACAGGGGGGTCAGAGGTCAGTGTTAGGGGGGCACTGGCCCCCCTTGCCCCCCCCCCCCCCCCTAGAACCGCCCCTGGTGAAACCTAAAACAACCCGGTATCACGGCAAGACGTGAACATGTGACGATTTACCATGCTGGGAGACGTGAAGATGTTACGATTTCGTCCCTTCAAATGTGACAGTTACACGGTATTGTTAACCCATGTTAACCAGTGGAGAAATACCCGGAAATGCCAAGCAAAGAGACTGGCGGAAAATATGTCTCAAAATTCCGTGTGTGTAAAAAGACGATCCACAAGCAGAAATGTGAGATCCACGAGCAGAGATTTGAGATCCGCAAGCGCATTTTTGGTTGACAAATACAAAATGGATTCACAAATGCCTGATCGAAAGTTGTAAATGTTAAAGAAATATTCACAGATCTTTTTTTTATTTGTGAACATATTTAGCGTATTTGCAGATCCGTTTTACATTTGCAAATTTATTTGTGAGTTTTCAAATCTTTTAAATGCATTTGTGGATGGTGTTTTACATTTACAAATCACATATTTACACACAAATTATTTGTATGTTCACACAAATAATTATGAGACATATATATGCCCATACGCCTCCCTCTCCCCACGTCTCCCTCTCCCCACGTCTCCCTCTCCCCACCTCTCCTGCTGCTGGGCTGTCAGAAGAAAACATTTTTTAACGGAAACTCACCCGCACGGTTCCCTCGTCCCTTGGAAGAGGCGGAGAGGTGGGTGTTTTTCATCTGCTGGTGGACAGTCCGGAGAGATATACACAGGGTTGGTACACGGTGTTACAGTACGTAATCAGAATACAAAAATCAAGTGTATTCAGCTGGCGTTACATTTGAAAAACGAGTAATCTGATTACAGTTACTTTCGTAAACCTGAAGTGAATACATTTTGGAATACTTATTGGAATTATTGGTGGAAATGTTTCCTCACAAAATGTAATATTCATTACCGGCAGAACTGTGTGCACACTGCACGGCGCTGCAGCATGTCTGTGAGGCCCCGCCCCCGCACGCAGATGAGAGAGAGAGATCTATTTTAAACTATATTGAAAGTTAGAAACGGAGTTGGTTAGATAAAATGTGCAAGATAACGTTTATGTAGCATTTCTTTATTGTCGAAATGATGACATTTATAACGGGATAAAATCAAAGTGAATGGCCTGCTGCTGCTGAATGCATGGGGCAAGTGACTGGAAAAAGTTTTAAAAGTTATTACATCGTTTCAGATAATAAATAATAATGATAATTCATTCTATTTAGGGGCGCCTTTCAAAGCACCCAAGGACACCTTACAATTCATAACATATTCTAAGGAAAGGTTTTAAAAGAAGAATGCAGTCGGGTGATGTTTTTTATGTGTGGTGCAGATGAGAGAGCTGTCCAGAAGGACACCAAGATGTTGTGTTTGAGTTCTTGATAAGCCATTAAAACAGTAAAATACGTGTCTCCTGTTCACCAAAACATACCCATCTGTTATGGAAAGATAAAGTATTCTAAAAGTAATCTGCCACTGGTACCGGCGGGGATTGTTGTTCGCTTCTGATGCGCAGAAGAAAAATTTGGCCCACCCTATTTTTTACAGGCCCACCCTAAAGTACATTTCTGCCTACGCTACTGGTATCAGCATCAAAATATACTTAAAGTACCAAAAGTAAATGTAGTCATTGTGCAGATTGGTCCATTTCAGAATAATATATATGATGTGTTTTATAATGATTGATCATGAAAGTGTTCTCAAAGCTGGTGAAGGTGCAGCTAGTTTGAATGACTTTGTATTCTGCAGGGTAGCTTGTGAATTTACTCCAGGTGGAACTAAAGTCTGATTTAACACTTGATTATATTTCACATCATTAATCCAGATCTGTAAAGTTGTTACGACTGGAGCACACAAAAACTGATAGGACCCAAATGCACGACTCCAGACAAAAGGTGATTTAAAAAAAAAAGGTTTTACTGTGGTGATAAAACAAGGTTATCCATTCACAAGGTAATCTATTCACAAGGTTCAAAAACGATCTGGCACTTGGCACAGGGAACACACAGAATATATACAAAAGCAAGGGACTCCACAGGTGAAAACAATAAGGGCGGGGCAGGTAATCAGGTCAGTGGACAAACAGGCAAGGTAGGAGTCGAACTACCTGAAATGAGAAGGGAAATGACAAAGTAAAACAGGAAATGGCAGACACGGACTTGACAATATAGACTCACAGAAAAATAATACTAACAGATCTGACGAGACACAACAAAATAACCAGTTAGTGGTCAAACCAGCACTAACAATGGTTGTCTGGTTTGAGGGGAATGTTTATCTACATTAAATACATGTAGTGGTGTCTGTAAGGGAAACTTCTGCAGCAATGGAGAGTCAGGACTCAGAGAGACATGAGGAGAGTTGGAGCTTTGATGTCAAACACTGATATTTATTACAAGTATACGGCCGGAGAAATTCACATCACAAGTCACAGAGCAGCCAGAGGTTCTGACTGCCCGGGTGGGTTGCCACATCAATTCTGCCGCGCCTCTCTCTCGATAGACCTTTTAAATATTCAGAGAGAGTAACAATATATTTGGGGAGATAGACTAAACAGCTGGGCACCCTGAATCACTTGCGTCTGACCCTTAATGGCCTCGAAGCCAGCGTTCCCACAGCCGTAAACCATTTTGTGACCGAGAGTTGAACTGGTTTATCAAGATAGCTGGAGCCTCCCATTCCTTAAGAGAGATAACAGAGCCAGGGCTGGTCGTAAACGTCAACACACAGAAAAGGTTAAATATCTAGGAGTAAAGACAGAAATATTCCCTCACAGTGTCAACGTACACCATTTACTTATAATGTAATACTTGATGTAAAGTACAAGTATCTCAAAATGTTACTTGAGTAAATGTACTTAGTTTCTTTTCACCACTGGATGTGACCTGTTAACAAAAAGAGGACAACAGGTGAATAGCTAGAAAAACCAAAAAAAGGGCATACAAGATAAACAGAAGAGAGTGAGCCAAAGGAGGAGGATGAGATGGAGGAGAGGCTGGAGAGTTGAGGACAGGCTAAATATGGAGGACAGGAGAGAGGAGGCCTGCGGCTTCACACCAGCTCTACTGGAGCACAGGGAGATTTATGAGGCGCTGGTGAAGAGGAAGTGTTATTGTTATATCTCTCACAGGCTCCGCACAGCAGCCATCTCGTCCTGCCATGAGAGATTTGGTGGAAGGTCAGCATTTAGTCAGCCACTAATGTCGCGGTTTTTACGGGGGGTCAGGAGGCTGCGCCCAGTAGTGCACGCCTCCACCCCGCAGTGGGACTTGCCGCTGGTGCTCGAGGCTCTGCTCTGGAAGACAGCTTTGCTTCTTGCCTTAACCTCAGCCAAAAGAGTGTCCGAGTTAACCGCTCTGTCGGTGCACCTGAGCTGTTTAATAATCCGGGGTGACCGGAGCGGCGCGACACTCAGACCGAACCCCTCCTTTGTGCCCAAGAGCGTAAGGAGTGTGTTCAGGTCGAGGGCTATCCAGTTGGGAGGCTTTAATCTTACACCCCATAGTGGGGCCAGGGAAGCTAAATTGCACCTCCTCTGCCCGGTGCGTGCGCTAGCATGATATGTGGAGCCCACGGCTGCCCTTAGACACACAGAACAGCTGTTTGTGTGCTTCGGGGAGGAGTAACTGGAAAAGCTCTGTCCAAGAAACGCCTGGCAGGCTGGCTCTGCGAGTGCATTGCACATGCCTACGGACAGGCGGGGAGAGCCTTCCCCACGGGGGTCCATGTGCACTCTACACGGGCTGTGGCTGTGTCAACAGCCTTATTTAACGCTGTGAGTGTGGAGGACATATGCACGGCGGCGTCTTGGTCAACGCCAGGCCCCTTCATAACGTTTTGTCTCTTGGACATGTCTGGCTCCTTTTCATCGTCTGTGCTTGCTGGGGCAACACAGGACTGGTGAGGGGGGGGGGGGGGGGGGGGGAGGAAACTGTGGGTCAGTGGGCATCTGACCCGGGCGTAATGCGCTTACGTTTTCCCGGGCCCCGGTCCCGGGGACGTGGCGCGCACTGGGCCCATAAGGGGCTGGAGGACTCTTTCCCCCTGCTTTAGGGCAGGAGGGGGGAGCCCTCCACATTATAGTCCATACACGCTCTTCACGAGGTAAGCGTGTCTGAGTGTGGGACATGGGGCTCTCCCCGTGCTCCTTAGGGACTCGGGAGAGGTGGTGCATAGTGAGCCCATACAGGGCTGAGGACTCTCTCCATCCGCCTATAGGCGGGAGGGACAATACCATAATTTGGTCGATTAAGGTGTGATTTACTCTTCCTTGGCTCTGTGTCCCCAGTTGCTCAAGATTCTGTGGTGTGTGTTGTCAGCAAGAATGGTATACAGCATATTATACAGTAGTTGGAATATCTAATTACCTTAAAGGTGGGGTATAAGTTTGAGAAACCGGCTCGAGATACACTTTTTGTTATATTCCTTGGAATGCTCTTAACATCCCAATAGCAATGAATATCTTAAGTGCTTTGACAAAAAATCCATACAAAAATGTCATCTGTGGAAGCTGTAGTACTGTAAAAAGCACGACCAATCCTTTTAGCCGGCCCGGCTAAAATAACTGGATGGCCTACCTGCCTGTCAGCCTTCCATCTGTGCACAAACTTATCTCGTGCCCTCATTGGTCATGTGCGCGTTCGTGTGTGTTGAAGGAGGGGCTCTGTAAGGAAGTGGCAGATATTTTCCGGCTATGTATTTTCAAATTCTAGCGCACTTCAGCTGGTTTCTCCAAAAATGACCTACCCCACCTTTAATGTAGTCTTCAAATATCTAACTAAAACCGTTCTCAGACAAGTGTTACATTTCGAGCTTGTTTCAGAAATATGCCATACCCTCTGATACAGTCAGAATATTTACCTGGAGAGAATAATGCATCTTTGGTTGGTTTTAGAAATATTGAAAGCTTGCCAGGGAACACTATAAACAACCTTTCAAAGAACAGTTGCTAGACATCTGTGGAGGTAAGCGCGTCAGAGTGTGCTCTATCAGCCGCAGCCCCGACTTCTCCATGGTTACATTACATTGCATTGAGCTGACGTTTTATCCAAAGCGACTTACAATAAGTGCATTCGACCAACAAGATACAAACTTGAAGAAAACAGAATCATATAAGTACATCAAGTTTCATAGAGCTACTCAACTGGCTTTAGATAAGCCAGTCCTTTGTTATAAGTGCTTTGTTAATAATTCTATCACTCGAAGTGGAGTCGAAAGAGATGAGTTTTTCTGAGCCGGAAGATGTGCAGGCTATCTGCTGTCCTGATGTCAATGGGGAGCTCATTCCACCATTTGGGAGCCAGGATAGCAAATCCACGTGTTTTTGCTGATAGGAACTTGGGTCCCCCTCGCAGTGAGGGTGCAGCAAGCTGTTTGGCTGATGCAGAGCGGAGTGCACGTGCTGGGGTGTACAGTTTAACCTGGATGTAGGAAGGGCCCGATCCATTCGCAGCATGGTAAGCAAGTACCAGTGTCTTGAAGTGGATTCTAGCAGTTACTGGAAGCCAGTGAAGGCAGCGGAGGAGCGGTGTGGTGTGGGAAAATGTTGGAAGGTTGAAGACCAGACGAGCCTCTGCATTCTGGATGAGCTGCAGAGGTCGGATGGTACATGCAGGTAGACCAGCCAGGAGGGAGTTGCAGTAGTCTAGGCGTGAGATGACGAGAGCCTGGACCAGAACCTGAGTCGCTTTCTGAGTCAGCTGGGGACGTATCTTCCTGATGTTGTAAAGCGTGTATCTGCAGCAACGGGTTGTAGCAGCGATGTTTGCAGTGAAGGACAGGTTGTTATCTAGGGTCACACCCAGATTCCTTGCAGTCTGAGTCGGGGAAACAACAGAGGTGCCGATGTTGATTGTTAGGTCAAGAGTGGGACAATCTTTTCCAGGAAGAAAAAGCAGCTCAGTCTTGTCTAGGTTGAGCTTGAGGTGGTGATCAGACATCCACTGAGAGATGTCAGCTAGACAAGCAGAGATGCGTGCAACGACCTGGGTCTCTGAGCGGGGAAAGGACAGAATTAATTGGGTGTCGTCAGCGTAGCAGTGGTATGAAAAACCATGCGGGCTAATGACTGATCCGAGCGAGTTTGTGTACAGGGAGAAGAGGAGGGGACCGAGAACAGAGCCCTGAGGGACCCCTGTAGTTAATTGACAAGGGTCGGACTCGGACCCTCTCCAAGTTACCCTGTAGGCAGACCCGGCGGCAGACATACGTCTCTGGGCGGGCATTTGATTTACCAGGGCAGGCCCACCACGACACTTACATTTCCCGGGAAATCTGATTTGTCAACGGGGGGGGGGTTGTGCTTGTTAGACGCTCGAGATTTGTCAACGGGGGGCTAGGGAGGTGCTCGTGAAACAGAGGGGTTTTAGGTTGCCATAAGGCTGTTGACGGTCTTATTAGGCTACATCCATTGGTTGGTTTTGTCTCGCGCGCAGCCTTTCATTCAGAATTTCATAGCAAAATAAAAAAACGATATTAAACTAATCTTTCAACATAGTTTAAAACAAAAATAAATATTAGGACAAAGCCCTACAAATAACAACAATAAACATAATCAGTGGCGGCTCCAGAGTATTTTTATTGGGTAATCTATGGTAACCCATACAGTGGTGGGGCTCAAGTCAGTATTTGCAATGTAATTACATACACGCTCCCCTTGACAGTGAAACGCCACGCGTGAGGTTTAGATTATTTCCCTGTCTCAATCCAAATTGAACTGTATGAAATAAAAAGGCACATTTGTCTTGTAGTAAATAAAAAGGGCGACCTGGAGCCAATCCTGCAATTTCCCCACAGGTGAAAGAGTTGACATGCTGAAAACCCAACCCCTGCAGGGGGGTCTGAGGGGATCGACATCAACATCGATTCTTGATTTCTATCAACACGTAATGTTGTATCGATGTATAGAGATGTACTCATAGACTGTATATATAAAGGATGTACTACAGCAAAAGTATTCTCCGTCGGGACTTCCTGCAACAACACCACGCCGTTATCTTGATTCTGATTGGCTAGAAGACATTATCAAAGATGTTCTATTGAGAGGACGATCACTACATGACAAAACCTTCAAAACCGTTTCTAGTCTTCGGTATTTCCAGACAAGTGACTGCTGAAATCAATCTTACTAACTGCTGTCTGTGCAATTTACTCCGCGCGAGTTGGCAGACTTTATTTTGCTTACTTTAACATCATTTTTCATGGTGGGGCTAAGCCATTTCTTGGTATGGCTGTAGTAGCCTACCCCAGTATACCCTGGCGCCGCCACTGAACATAATAATAAAACAATTCAAATGTTGTATTCAGCCCTGATTAAAACAGCGGGCCCAAATCCTGGATGGGCGGGCCCAAATCCTGGATGGGCGGGCCCAAATCCTGGATGGGCGAGCCCGGCCCCATGGGGCCCGCCCATGACGCCGGGTCTGCCTGTAGGTACGGTCTTTGAGGTATGAGGTGATGAGGGAAAGTGCAGAGCCTGAAACACCAAATTCTTGTTGAGTGCGAAGGAGGATCTGATGGTTCACCGTGTCGAATGCAGCAGACAGGTCCAGAAGGATGATGACAGAGGAGAGGGAGGCTGCTTTTGCCGTGTGCAGTTCCTCAGAGACAGCGAGGAGGGTTATCAGCCTCACTCAACTCTCCCTCGAGAGTTGAGTGAGGCGCAGCGGCTGCTAACCAGAAAGCCGGTCAGAGACAGTGAGATGGAACGGTGTTGTTGGACGACAGCGCGTGTATACATCAGCCTGTGAGAGATATAACTGTCTGTCCTATGCTGCTTGCTGAAGAGAAGTGTAGGATGACAGTCAGGAGGGATGTGCGCGCATTCAGGTAGGCCCGCCCCGGGGCCGGCTACGGTTATAGAAGTCTCAGTGGATGAATGCTTGCATGATATGATCAAGGGGTAGTACCCATAGAGTCCAGTAAAGGGCTCCACCTGTGCTTATATCCTCCATAATGACGAGCCTTTCCATAATGTTTTATTCTTTAACATCCTAGTTGGGTTTCTTGTAAAGCCTGACCAAGTGGTTTGTCTTCTTTCTTTCCAGGCTGGAATGATCCTTGATAATGGAGTAAAGACCACCGAGGCCAACGACAAGGACAAGAGACCCTTCCTGTCTCTGATTGGAGCCAGGTCAGGACTTCTCATCCTATAACAAACTAGCAGCATGGTCCAATAGTCACAAATATGACTTTCATTGTCTTTTCCTAAACACTTTTCCTAACTTTGAAGAAAAACAACGTTAGGTCAAGGAAAGTTCTGAAAGAGAACTCATGCACTTAGGAACAAAGAACCACAGTTGTAGGAAAGTTCTGCTCCACTCACGGAAGATTTTTTTTCATTCTTCTTTTGTTTATCTAAAGCAACATTATTTATAATGCACGTAGTAGAAAAAGAGTACAGTGACAAACTCCATGCTGTACTTGTGCCTACGTTATGCCCTTTTGTGCGGGTAGCATTCTGCACAAAGTGGGACATCTGGTCCCCTGACAGCAGCTGAGACCAAGAGTTGATCGATGTGTTGTTTCAAGCTGGACTCTGGGACCTGTAATATTAAAACTAATTGAAAAGTCTACATAACCCACTAGTTTTGCTTGTACCTTGGTCATTAAACCAAACACACACAAAAGCACACTTAAAGAGTTTAGCCTATTTGAAAAAATTGCACCAGCACTAACAATGGTTGTCTGGTTTGTGGGGAATATATCTGCATTTTTCTTGTTGTTCTGCGTTTGAATCTTTATGTTTTATTGCACCTATTGTCAGTTGCTTTGCTGAAAAGCTAAATATAATGTAATGTAGACAGACATACACACAGTAAGATTATTTGTCGTTTCTCTGCAGCCCTGCGTATTTACAGCACTAACATACGTTTACAATAGATGTAAAATAAGATAAGAAGTAATTTATTGATCCCAATTTGAGAAATGTTTGTGTTGCAGCAGCATACAAAGACATAGCATGGTCATGGTAAAAACAATCAAATAACTATCAGTGAACGCTGTCTTTCTCCACTCAGTGTGATGTGTTACATCTTTCAGGTACGGCCCCCACCAGGATGCTGATCCCTTCAAACCCAGGGTCCCGGCTCTGATTCACCACTTTGTGGCCTATAAGAACCAGGACCATGGAGCCTGGCTGAGGGGGGGTGACGTGTGGCTGGACGACTGCCAGTGAGTATAAATGCATTCATATAGTAGACCCTCCAGAAAAACGTGAGCAAAAATCCTTAATTATGCGGGCTAAAATCCTTGATTATGCGATTAAACATGCAGGGTTTTTATGTGATTTTATGCGGTGAAATTGCGGGAGGTTGCGAAATATGCGGAAAGTTGCGAAATATGCAAAATATATATTTTTTATTTATTCTCTCTCACACACAACCTGCCACTCACGTTACACCCCTTTACTATTCAATTAAACACATTCAATGTTTATTTATTGTAAAAGCAATAGGGCTATTTTAATCACACTCTCTCACACACACACACACACACACACACACACACACTTCTCCGCCTCATTCTGTTTTCATTTACTCGTTCGTTATCTGACCAGCTTCAATCTTGTAGGCTTCTCACCTCGTTTCTTGTAGCCCTCGAAAGGGTTTTGGAGGTTGATGCCTCGGTGAACGTGAGTTGTTTGGCTTTCTTGTCCGCAGCAGCAGAAAGCATTTTCGAATGTTTGAATGAATCAAAGTGGGTCGTCACCGTCGATGTTCTCTTATGCTCCAACCTATGGCTCCAACACGAGTTGCACGGGGTGCAGAATAGTTTCCCCCCCACTTTCGTGCGAGACATCGGGGAACTGCTTTGCCCGGTCTTTAGCAGAAATGTTCGTCGGTAAATGAGATGGATTACATTTTTTCATCTTGGTGTTTTCTCTCTCGTGTGAGCTCCACACGTTTACCTTCTGTGATGCGGGAGCTGATGATGTCGCGTCATCATCATCATCATCATCATCATCATCATCATCATCATCATCATCATCATCATCATCATCATCATCATCATCATCATCATCATCATCATCATCATCATCATCATCATCACTACTTCACGTCAAGACGAGTTAACTTTTTTTTCTCAACTTTGTGTGGAAAAATGCGGGGATTATGCGCCCTTTTAAAAATCTGCGCCATTTTGCTGATTATGCGGTAAATGATGTGATCGCATAATTGCGTTTTTCTGGAGGGTCTAATATAGTGATATTAACACTGATGAATAACTGAGTGAATAATGTCTGTTGAGTGAAGGTGGTCAACTTTCAATTTAGCTTAATTCTGCAGGGAATCCTCATTATTAGTTTCATATAGCTCAGGTTGTTGATGTCAGATTCCCCCCATCTAATAAAAACTATCGCCTACTGACTGTGTGTGTGTGTGTGTGTGTGTGTGTGTGTGTGTGTGTGTGTGTGTGTGTGTGTGTGTGTGTGTGTGTGTGTGTGTGTGTGTTTTCCTCTCGAGACCTCAGACTGTCGCAGTGATAATATTCTCTCCTTCCTGTTTAGATTTGCTGATAATGGCATCGGCCTCACTCTGGCGAGGTAAGACCCCCCCCCACGGTTCATATTTATATAGATAGAAATAATGGGCTTCTGTTTGCATTTGTGGCGTTCCAGGATCCTCTCTCTCTGTCTGTCTGTAAGAGTAATTGGAAAACACCTTATAAGGAGGCGTTTAGGGTGCACTGGGAAACAGAGCGCTCTGATGCAGTGTGAAAAGTAATTTAGGGGTGTGATGGTCACAGAGGAGGGAGTTGGTGAGAAGTTTCCGACTGACTTTACAAAGCAGGGAGCCTACATACATGAGAGCAACTTTCCCTTTATGTCATGGCCCCGCCCATTTCTGGGGGAAAATATCTGCTTAATAGAGAGGCGAAGTCCCTCCCCTTCCGGGAGACCTCCATGGGACCTTATTTTGGAAAAAGTATGTAGAGAGAAAGATTATCTTTCGATCCAGTTTGAATTGTGCCACGAATTACACATATGATGTTTGTCAATTTAAAAGATAATTTTGCAAGTCAAATTTTTTTAAATGTGCCGTAAAACTGTGAAGTAACACATTTTTTTGTGTGAAGCGCTCAATGAACTACATCTCTGGTCTTGCACACATCACCAACACCAAGATGGCCGTCACGTTAGCACATTTCCGCTCTTTCTTTCAGAATGAAGTGAAACGTATTAAAATAGGTGAAAATCACTACAAGTCTGGCCATGTTGAGAACTGTACATACACACAAGGGGAGTTAGTCGGTTCCGTAAGAGCCAGCATGCGGGACCGGCTTTACATGGTTTTGGTGAGTAACAATCAATCAATCAACAACTTTATTAATCCCGCAAGGGGCAATTGGTTATGAGCAGCAGCTTATGTCATGTACACAGGCAGGAACATACAAGAAGAAAACACAGATACACCCGGGAGCACAGATGTGGATAATTCCAATTTACACTATAAATAGTTCAAAGCATCACAATAATAAATAAATAAATAAATAATCAAGTTAAAAGCCTTTTCAAGAGTTTAAAAGTTTGAGTGCAGAAGGGATGAATGATTTAGAAAAGCGATTAGTCCTTTGATCAGGTAGAGCATATCTACGCCCTGATGGCAACAGACGAAATTCATGTGAAAGAACATGACCTGGAGAGTTCAGAATGCTCTCTGCTTTCCGCAGAATCTGTTGGTTACAGAAGGAATTTAAGTCTCTCTGTTTCACGCCGATGATCTTGGAGCAGGTTTTAACAATGCTGTTCAGGCTGTTCCTGTCTTTCAGTGTAAGGCTATGGAACCAGCAGATAAAAGAAAAACAAATAAGGCTCTCAATGAATGCTTGGTAAAAACGACAAAGAATGAAAGGCCTGACAGAGAAAGAGTTCAGTTTGCGAAGAAGGTGCATTCTCTGTTGACCCCGCTTCACAATACACTCAGTATTCACATCAAATTTGAGGTGGTCATCGATGCCCAAGTATTTGTATGATGTGACAATTTCTACCTTGTCATTGTGTATGATGCACTCCTTAGGAACATCCTTGTGACATATAAAATCAATGATCAATTCCTGGGTTTTGGAGACATTTAAATCCAGAAAACTGTCATCACACCAGGAAATGAAATCGGCAAGAGCACACTCGTGGCCTGATTCTGAGCCGCTAAGGAGGGACAAGAGGGCGGTATCATCAGAGAATTTAACCAGGTAGCTGTTGTCTTGCATGCTCCTGCATTTATCAGTGTACATTATAAAAAGTAGGGGCGAAAGAACGCATCCTTGAGGCGAGCCCGTGGAAATGATGACAGAGTCAGAGGGGCGTCCATTTACAGACACCTTCTGCTCTCTATTAGTTAGAAAGTTTAAAATCCATAAAACAAGTTGATCGGGCAGTTTAAAATGACATAATAGGCTCTCTACCAGGAGATGCGGCTGCATTGTGTTAAATGCTGAAGAAAAGTCAGCAAACAAAAGCCTAGCGTGGGCTTGTGGCTTTTCAAGGTGTTTGTGGAGGGTGTGTAGTATAAAAAGCTTTGCATCCTCTAAGCCTCTCCCTGCCTGATACGCAAATTGTAGTGGATCAAGTTCACCACCTATTACTGACATGACCTTTAAGGCCTTTAACAATTTATTCAAAAAATGTCATTACCAATGACGTTAAAGCCACCGGTCTGAAGTCATTTAGGACTTTAGGATGAGGCTTCTTAGGGATGGGAATTACAGTTGAGGATTTCCACATATCTCTGAAGAACCAGCACCTTACCGTGGTAGAGAGGTTTGTGTGCCCTGATGAACCTGGGGGCTGTGTTGTCTGGAACCTTGTGTTCCTGGTAGGGTCTCCCATGGCAAATTGGTCTCAGGCAAGGGGTCAGACTAAGATTGGTTCAAAAGACCTCATGAAAGAACAGCAAAGAAGTGAGTATACCCGTCCCGGAGGAACGGGTATCCCGGGGTCCCCTTCTGGAGCCAGGCCCAGAAGGAGGACTCGTCAGCGAGCGTCTGGTGGCTGGGCTTGCCACGGAGCCCGGCCGGGCACAGCCCGAAAAGGCAACATGGGCAACACCTCCGCTTCTCTGTCCCGCGGGCCCACCACCTACGGGAAACAGCGATGGGGTCGGGTGCGCTGCTAGAAGGGTGGCAGTGAAAGCAGAGGGTCTCGACGGACCAGACCCGGGTGACAGAAGCTGGCTTTGGGGACGTGAAACGTCACCTCTCTGGGGGGGAAGGAGCCGGAGCTTGTGCGGGAGGTGGAGCGTTACCAGTTGGATCTGGTTGGGCTCACCTCTACGCACAGCGTCGGCTCTGGAACCTTACTTCTGGATAGGGGTTGGACTCTATTATTCTCCGGAGTTGCTCAAGGTGTGAGGCGCTGGGCGGGTGTGGGGATACTCACAAGTCCCCGGTTGGGTGCTTCGTTGTTGGAGTTTACCCCAGTGGACGAGAGGGTCGCCTCCCTACGCCTGCGGGTTATGGGGGGGAAAACTCTGACTGTTGTGTGTGCTTATGCACCAAACAGAAGTTCAGAGTATACAGCCTTCTTGGAGACCCTGGAAAGAGTCCTGTATGGGGCTCCTGAAGGGGACTCTTTAATCTTGCTGGGAGACTTAAACGCACATGTGGGCAATGATGGAGACACTTGGAGGGGCGTGATTGGGAGGAACGGCCCCCCTGATCTGAACTGGAGTGGTGGTTTGTTACTGGACTTATGTGCTAGTCATGGATTGGCCATAACAAACACCATGTTCGAACATAAGGATGCTCATAAGTGTACGTGGTACCAGAGCACCCTAGGCAGAAGGTCCATGATCAATTTCGTTATCGTATCATCGGACCAGAGGCCGTATGTTTTGGACACTCGGGTAAAGAGAGGGGCGGAGTTGTCAACTGATCACCATCTGGTGGTGAGTTGGGTCGAGTGGCGGGGGAAGCCTCTGGATAGACCTGGTAAGCCCAAACGTGTAGTTCGGGTGAACTGGGAACGTCTGGAGGAGGCCCAAGTTCAGGAGGCCTTCAACTCACACCTCCGGCGGAGCTTTTCGGGCATTCCTGTGGAGGTTGGGGACATTGAACCAGAGTGGTCGGTGTTCAAAGCCTCTATTGCCGAAGCCGCGGCGGGGAGCTGTGGTCCCAAGGTCTTAGGTGCCTCAAGGGGCGGTAACCCTCGAACCTCCTGGTGGACACCGGTGGTCAGGGAAGCCGTCCGACTGAAGAAGGAGGCCTTCAGGGATTTGTTATCCCGGGGGACTCCCGAGGCAGTTGCAAGGTACCGAAGGGCAGCAGCCTCAGCCGTGGCCGAGGCAAAGCAGCGTGTGTGGGAGAAGTTCGGAGAAGACATGGAAAAGGACTTTCGGGTGGCACCAAAGTTGATCTGGAAAACTGTCCGACACCTCAGGAGGGGGAAGCAGGGAATCATCCAAGCTGTGTACAGTAAGGATGGGACGTTGTTGACCTCAACTGATGGAGTGTTAGGGCGTTGGAAGGAACACTTTGAGGAACTCCTGAACCCGACAACTCCGCCCTCTATGTTAGAGGCAGAACTGGAGTATGACGGGGGATCAAGGTCGTCAAACAACTCCACAGTGGCAAAGCCCCAGGGGTGGATGAGATCTGCCCAGAAATGCTGAAGGCTCTGGGTGTTGAGGGACTGTCATGGTTGACACGTCACATCAACGTTGCGTGGAAGTCGGAAACAGTACCGAAGGAGTGTGAGACCGGGGTGGTGGTTCCCCTTTTCAAAAAGGGGGATCAGAGGGTGTGTGCCAATTACAGAGGCATCACACCACTCAGCCTCCCCGGGGAAGTTTACTCTAAGGTACTCGAAAGGAGGGTCAGGCCGATTGTCGAACCTCAGATTGAGGAGGAACAATGCGGATTCCGTCCTGGTCGTGGAACGACGGATCAGCTTTTTACTCTCGCAAGGATCCTGGAGGGGGCCTGGGAGTACGCTTATCCGGTCTACATGTGTTTTGTAGACTTGGAGAAGGCGTATGACCGAGTTCCCAGGGAGTTACTGTGGGAGGTGCTGCGGGAGTATGGGGTGAGGGGGTCTCTACTCAGGGCTATCCAATCTCTGTACACCCAAATCGAGAGCTGTGTCCGGGTCCTCGGCAGTAAGTCGGACCCATTTCCGGTGAGGATTGGCCTCGGCCAGGGCTGCGCTTTGTCACCAATCCTGTTTGTAATATACATGGATCGGATTTCGAGGCGTAGTCGTGAGGGAGGGGGTCTGCAGTTCGGTGGACTAAGGATTGCACCACTGCTTTTTGCAGATGATGTGGTTCTAATGGCTTCATCGGTCTGCGACCTTCAGCACTCACTGGATCGGTTCGCAACCGAGTGTGAAGCGGCTGGGATGAGGATCAGCACCTCCCAATCTGAGGCCATGGTTCTCAGCAGGAAACCGATGGACTGTCCACTCCAAGTAGGGAATGAATCCTTACCCCAAGTGAAGGAGTTCAAGTATCTCAGGGTCTTGTTCTCGAGTGAGGGAACAATGGAGCGTGAGATGGGCCGGAGAATCGGAGCAGCAGGAGCAGTACTGCAGTCGCTTTACCGCACCGTTGTGACGAAAAGGGAGCTCAGCCAGAAGGCAAAGCTCTCTGTCTACCGGGCCATTTTCGTTCCTACCCTCACCTATGGTCATGAAGGATGGGTCATGACTGAAAGAACGAGATCGCGGATACAAGCAGCCGAGATGGGTTTTCTCCGCAGGGTGGCTGGTGTCTCCCTTAGGGATAAGGTGAGAAGTTCGGTCATCCGGGAGGGACTCGGAGTTGAACCGCTCCTCCTTCGCGTCGAAAGGAGCCAGTTGAGGTGGTTCGGGCACCTAGTTAGGATGCCACCTGGGCGCCTCCCTAGGGAGGTGTTCCAGGCACGTCCAGCTGGGAAGAGACCAAGGGGTAGACCTAGGACCAGGTGGAGGGATTATATCTCTTCGCTGGCCTGGGAGCGCCTTGGGATCCCCCAGTCAGAGCTGGTTGATGTGGCCAGGGAAAGGAAAGTTTGGGGCTCTCTGCTGGAACTGCTACCCCCGTGACCCGACCACGGATAAGCGGGAGAAGATGGATGGATGGATGGATTTCCACATATCAGGAATTTGGCTATTCTCAAGTGACAGTTGGAAGATATGTTGGAAAGCACCACAGAGTTTGCTAGCACAATACTGGAGTGTACGCCCACAAATATGGTCAGGACCTGGGGCCTTCCTAATATTGACTCGTTTTAAGAGATTCCTAACATCATCCTGTTCAATGACTATGTCTGAGATAGGTGAGAGAGACTCTCTAAGGGTTGAGGTGTTTATGGAGAAATCATTTTTCTCGAATCGAGAATAAAAAATGTTAAAAGCATTGGGGAGGTCTGCCTCATTTGTTCCCTCAATGTTAATGGGATTCCTAGCCCTGTCATTGTTGTTACCCTGGGAGATGGAGGACATTGATTTGATTCCCCTCCAGGGTTCCCGAAGATCTCCACTGCTGTATTTGAGTTCCACCTTATAAGCTATTTTAGATTTTCTTATCTCATTTCTTAATTCTCTGTTAATTTATTTTTTGTCCTGACTATTTCCAGTATAAAATATACGTTTCTTTCTATTTATAACACTCTTTAGTTCCTTCATGACCCACGGCTTATTATTAGGGAAGACGGTAATGTCTTTACAAGGAATGTTAGACTCCACACAAAATGATATGTAGGATGAGACAGTTGACGTCAGTTCATTGAGATCAGAGCATGAGCTATAAAACACATCCCAATCCGTGCAGTCCAAACATGCCTGTAAGGTGGCAATGCTTTCCTCTGTCCAACATTTCACAGTTTTTTTGGTGCACACTTGTGTAATGTGTAACGGTAATGACTCTGGGATTTGTAGTCTTTCTAGTTGCGTATTTTTCATAGTCTTATATTTCAACAGTTTTAAGACAAACTGTGACTTTTTTTACATGGAAATGATTTTTTAAGATTGACAAACATCATATGTGTAATTCATGGCACAATTCAAACGGGACCAAAAAATAAGTTTTCTCTCTCCATTGACTTCAATACATAATTTTTCAGAAATAAGGTCCCATGGGGCGGAAGTAGATGAGCATGACTTCGCCACTCTATTGGACTGGGGGTAAATACAGGTTATGTGGTGCTTGCCCATCTAATCAGTATTAAGAAAACTGGGCAATATTTAATATTGAGCCCAAATACGACGATTAGTCAACCAACAGTATCATAGAGATCGATGATCGGCGTCAGAATGGTGGCATTGGCCAGTTAACAACACTTATACTGGTTTATCCCTGGCTTATCAGTGTTTTATATGTTAATGCATCATCGACATGCATACACTTGACTTTTAACATTACTGTACAACTATTTACTTTGGCGATTGACATTAACCTTGTTAGCATCAAAACTTTGACCAACGGTGACAGGGGGCGTTTTTTATTTATTAGCAGTGCTTTTAGTAAACGCTGCACATGTTGTCAAGTTGATGAAGATGTTTCTCCAAATGGAAATGTTTTGGGACGTTGTTAAGTGTTTGCCCCCGTACATTAAATATCTGATAGGACATCAACCTGAAACGGTCTAATTAATAGATCATAGTTTAAGCTTCAACCAAACTGCAGTGACATCTGGTGTTAGATGGACGTTTTGTCAATTTAATAAAAGTTTGCCCCCAATTTAAGGGAACACTGCAGAGGTCTGTAATGTTCGTTCATTATTCAAAATGGTTTCAGCTCTCATGTTTCTCATTTTCCAGATCAGCAACTACATCACTAACTGCTGGGATTTAGAAATACCACAGGCCCAGTATACAGTGAGGGGTGTATCAACCATAGTCAGAGTGCACTTTTGATTAATGAAATAATAGTTTTACTTTTAATAAATACATCATACTGTAGATGTGTTTGCCCCTACAATAATACATTATTTAATCTACTGCAGTGTCAATAATAATATGTGTGTGCTTTATTGGCTCATAAAATGAACAGTTGTCTTCCAAACATCTTAATTTAAGATGCTCTTAGAAACGGACACAGATTATGGCCACTTGCAGCAGGCGTAAAGTGCACCTAAATGATATATTACAGAAGTGTTTTTCATTGCATCATCGGTTATTTTACCAGGACCATTGATGCTTGCTGTTAACTGTTAAAAGAAGAACAGAAAACACACACACACAAAACAATAAAGTGTATCCAACAGTACCTTGGTAAGAGAAAATAACTGAATAAGTAAAGTAATCAAACAGCAGAATTTCACCCAAATAGGCTTAAAATGTCTTCATCGTGATGTTTGAATAATAAAGGACCCTCTCATCTGGCGGAGGCTAGCATTTAGGCTGTCTCTGATCCTTTGGGTTATGACATTTAGTTTAGACCTTAAAGGTGGGGTAGGTAAGTTTGAGAAACCGGCTCGAGATACACTTGTTATATTCCATGGAATGCTCTTAACATCCCGATAGCAATGAATATCTGAAGTGCTTTGACAAAAAATCCATTAAAAACACATCATCTGTGGAAGCCGTAATACTGTAAAAAGCACGACCAATCATCTGAGCCGGCTAAAGTAACTGGATGGCCTACCTGCCTGTCAGCCTCCCATCTGGGCACAAACTTATCTCGTGCCCTCATTGGTCATGTGTGTTGGAGGAGGGGCTCTGTGAGGAAGTGGCAGATTCTTTCCGGCTGTGTATTTTCAAATTCTAGCGCACTCCAGCTGGTTTCTCCAAAATTACCTACCCCACCTTTAAGGCTATAACCAGGCCCATAAAGTTGTCCTTTGTGTCTGCACATGCATTCTATCTACCTATCTTCAACCCAGTGAAACACTTACAGAATAAGCATCTCAAAATCACTGCTACTACCAATGCTACTATCACTACACACACTGCTGCTAGACACCTGGACACTCTAACCCCCCCTCTCTGTGTGCAGTGGAGGGACGTTCCCAGACGATGACGGCTCTCGCCAGCAGGTGATAAACTCTCTGTTTGTGGGTGAGAGTGAGAACCGCGGGATGCCCGTCCCTGACAACAGGATCTGGGGCCCCGGGGGGTCCGACCACAGCGGCAGAACGCTGCCTCGCGGCGTGTAAGTGACACACAGAATATCTTCTTTAGGTTTTATGCTCACAAACTTTGCAGAGTTTGCAGCCACATCAGAGGGCTAAAAGCCGAGCCTGATTTATAAGGTGATACATTTTCAAATGTTGGTTTTCAGCTTGTTGTTCAAACACCCAACATTTTCAAAAATGCAGCTTTAAAACGCAATAGACATTAAGGTTACATGTAACCATTGACTTAAAATGATGTAAAGTATGTCCAAATTGGGTATTAGGTGTGTATATCATGGATATGCAAAGAGAACTGGACACAATGGCCATTCCTATGAGAGCTGCTCAGTGGCGCAGGAATCCAAAATGGAGCGACTGTAGATTCAAAAAGTCCATGTTATTTGAATAAGGGCACATTTTTAGTTCTGGGTAGTTATTTAGCTCAATGAAATTATACGCGGATTTAGAGACGTCTCTTTCCAAATGTATGTCAATGGGGAGAGTCCTTTTGGGCCCGAATGAAGTCACGGTCTAGAACAGAAGTGTCGTTCCACCATTTGGCCACTATGATAGTGGCTTCAATAGCTGGCCCACTTCCTGGGGGCAGGCACCAGTATTTGTCTTATGGTCAGGCTTTCTTGGTATTGTGTTGGTCCATCAGCTCCTGGTTTCAGAGACGTGGTCCTGGTGTATTGGATCATAGATATGACAGCTGCAATAGTCCCACAGAAACAGATTCTGTCACATGTTAACACCTCAGGCCCATTTCTGATCACTGTTTGAAGGCAAAGATACTTAAAGGGGACATATCATGCTATATTTGAACAATATATTGTAGGGCCATACCTATATAAAGTTTATAAATATAGTTTTTTTTTCAAAATACCAAACAGATCCTGCATTTTAGCCATGCCTCATTTCACTCTATTTGCTCTTTCCAGCGCTGTAATCAAAAAGCTCCTCAAAAACACTATGGAAACAGTTCCTGCCGTTGCTACGTTAGTTCAAACAGTAACAACGGACTATTTTTCTTAGCGGATGCATGTCAATTTAAATCAATACATACAACTATTTTTTAAATCAATAAAATCATTTTCTAAATCCATAAAAGCATTACTACAGCGCCACTTACAGGCCTGGCATATGTACTACAGCGTCTCCAGTGCTTTCGAGCGGCAATGGCCGGCCGTGGCCCAACCTCTCATTCCCCTGATAGGTGGAGAATTGACCAATAGCCATAGCGCCACCGTCCTGACGTCAGGACAGTGTTCAAATCTGGATCAGTCTGTATCAGATCCGTTGCAGCCCCGTTTTTAGTGATTTGGGTATGGAGGAAAATAGAGAGGGTTGTGTTTTCTGACTTGGTGAGTTCCCTGACACACCGGGAACACATATTCATGTGAAAAGACGTACAAGAGTGCATTTTGCATGATAGGTCCCCTTTAAGTAAGTCAAAAATACGATGATTGTTACCTTAGTCATTTTCAGTGAGAATATATGGCATCCAATTTAATTTGAGTTGAATTACATTTTAAAAGCCAAATTATTGAATGCCCCAAAGACATTAGGCGGAGTACCAGCTGAAAAGAGACTGTTGTTTGTGAGAGCCAGACATGGCATGCTAGACATCATCCCTTTCCACTTGGCAGAGGGAATGTCCTCCAGTGATATCAGAGACTCCTTTATTGTGTTGGAAAAAGAAAACTCCCTGCTTCATCTTCGGTCTGAAGTTTTTTGAGGCAAACAGCTGAACTTGGGCACACCAAGTGCTCCCACGCAGTGCAGGGCTGAACATTAGATGAAGGCCACTGGATAAAATACTTTCCTAAGCACCCAGGCAAGAAGTCACACTCCTCTTCCCCAGTCCAAAATCCAACACTGTGTGGTCTTTCTGGTTTGTATTAGTTTCTTACTGTACAACCACTCAACTTTGAATATCTGAACCTCTCTGGCAGAATGCTCACATTGTAAATATGTGCACAACAGACACAACATGAAGGGAGGAGGTACGTCTTACAAAGTGTCGTACAATCCTTTTTGAATGAAATGTACTTTGTGTGTGTGTGTTTCCGCGCAGTGATTTTCCAATCCGAGGCATGCAGATCTACGACGGGCCCATCAACATTCAGAACTGTACGTTCCGGAAGTACGTGGCTCTGGATGGACGGCACACCAGCGCGTTCGGCTTCCGGCTCAACAACTCGTGGCAGAGCTGCCCCAACAACAACGTCACTGACATCATCTTTGACCACGTACCTGTGAGTCACCTGCTGCGGGAAAACATCTGGCTGATTAAAGCAGATACATTAGTGGAACACAGATGTTGCTTTGAGATTAATGAAGATAGAAAAACATCTTGCTAATATTAGAGAAGCAAGCTTCAATTTGGCAGCTGGGCTCCAGTCACACTAAAGGTACCCCGAGGAGTTTCTGTCAATGAGAGGCACAAATGTTTTTATGGGTCCTTTTGATTTGTATGAAGCATGTGCATGGATCATACCGGAGGCAACCCTAAACATATCACTTCCACCAATTTCACACTGTCCTCCCTATCGACAGTTGGATGCAGTGTTTAAGAAACATAGCGTCCACACAGACATGGAAGAAGAAGAAGAAAAATGCATGTGTAAAAAAGAAAGGATTGAACATTTAAAAAAGAAAAATTAATATTCATAGATGCTTTATGAAAAATTAAATACATTCAGCACCGACCTCGGGGTAATTTGTTGATCCTGAATGTTAACACTATTGTTTGTTTACAAGTAACTCCACAGGGCACCTTTAAAGGAATGAAAATGTGATATGTAACATTAAGATATTTTGTTGTGCAAATGTAACTGTTAGTGGGTTGAAGCAGAAATGATTGATCCGAGGCTCTACGGTCTTCTAACATCTACGTATAAATCTACTGTTGGGCCACCGTATAGCGCCATATATCCTTGGTAGAGCTGGCCCATGTCCTGGGGCTTGGTCCCCATGCTGAGGACCAGGGGCCTCATTTATAAAGGGATATACGCTCAAAAAATGGCGTACGCCAGTTTCTACGCAATGTCAGAGTGCACTTTTGATTAATGAAATAATAGTTTTACTTTTAATAAATACATCATACTGTAGATGTGTTTGCCCCTACAATAATACATTATTTAATCTACTGCAGTGTCAATAATAATATGTGTGTGCTTTATTGGCTCATAAAATGAACAGTTGTCTTCCAAACATCTTAATTTAAGATGCTCTTAGAAACGGACACAGATTATGGCCACTTGCAGCAGGCGTAAAGTGCACCTAAATGATATATTACAGAAGTGTTTTTCATTGCATCATCGGTTATTTTACCAGGACCATTGATGCTTGCTGTTAACTGATGTTAGAAAAGAAGAACAGAAAACACACACACACACAAAACAATAAAGTGTATCCAACAGTACCTTGGTAAGAGAAAATAACTGAATAAGTAAAGTAATCAAACAGCAGAATTTCACCCAAATAGGCTTAAAATGTCTTCATCGTGATGTTTGAATAATAAAGGACCCTCTCATCTGGCGGAGGCTAGCATTTAGGCTGTCTCTGATCCTTTGGGTTATGACATTTAGTTTAGACCTTAAAGGTGGGGTAGGTAAGTTTGAGAAACCGGCTCGAGATACACTTGTTATATTCCATGGAATGCTCTTAACATCCCGATAGCAATGAATATCTGAAGTGCTTTGACAAAAAATCCATTAAAAACACATCATCTGTGGAAGCCGTAATACTGTAAAAAGCACGACCAATCATCTGAGCCGGCTAAAGTAACTGGATGGCCTACCTGCCTGTCAGCCTCCCATCTGGGCACAAACTTATCTCGTGCCCTCATTGGTCATGTGCGCGTTCGTGTGTGTTGGAGGAGGGGCTCTGTGAGGAAGTGGCAGATTCTTTCCGGCTGTGTATTTTCAAATTCTAGCGCACTCCAGCTGGTTTCTCCAAAATTACCTACCCCACCTTTAAGGCTATAACCAGGCCCATAAAGTTGTCCTTTGTGTCTGCACATGCATTCTATCTACCTATCTTCAACCCAGTGAAACACTTACAGAATAAGCATTCAGATTCTTTCCGGTTGTGTATTTTCAAATTCTAGCGCACTCAAGCTGGTTTCTCCAAAAGTACCTACCCCACCTTTAATGTAATTGATTAAATTAATTGAGGCACTCTGAACTCCAGTTTCCATCCAATGTATTACATGTGTAAGAATCAGATTAAGTGTTGTGTGTGAAAATTGAAACAGGGAGCCATAGATGTGTTTTAAGCCTTTCCATCTCTGTAAGAGTATAAAGTGGAGTGGAGTCAGTTTGTTCAGGCTTTTATATTGGATAGATATGGTCATGAACACATGAATACTCAGTATGGGCAGCTCCTAATGACTCCTGTCACTCCGGCCCTCTGTAGATCACGTCTCGGGTGTTCTTTGGGGAGCCGGGCCCCTGGTTCAGCAAGATGCAGATGGACGGGGACAAGACCACCATCTTCCACGACATGGACGGCTCGGTCAGCGAATACCCCGGAGCCTTCCTGGTGAAGGAGGACAACTGGCTGCTGCGGCACCCCGACTGCATCGACGTGCCCGACTGGAAGGCTGCCATCTGCAGCGGCCGCTACGCCCAGGTGGGCCGGCCTCACACACACACACATACACACACAAACACACACACACACACACACACACACTTATCCTCACAAATCACGCTTCGCAAACACACATTTACTTATTATTACACCCTTTTCAGCAGTCGTTTAATACATTCATTAACAATTAAAGTATTTAGAAAATCATGAATATGTTATAATACCTGTTTGTTGAAATTAGATAATGCCTAATGAAAATTAGCAATGCCAAAAGGACTCTTAAACACAGGTGAGGTTTTATTTATGATTTTTCTAAAATGTAATGTATTGAATGTGTTTTGGGAAATGTGCATGTACTTTCAACCAGAGTTTTAAGAATGTATCTCTTTGTTCAACACAGGTCTTGTTTAGCTTACATACTGGAACTAAGGGCGGAAATCTGGCTTATCTCTTTCAAAGCGCCCTCAAACTACTTTAAAAAAGCCCCCCAAGAAAGTTGTTTCTTCAGCCACTGAAGAGTGAGAAGAATGATGAATTCCACAAATGTGTCAGTAATGTCATTTATAAAGTCAGCAATATCCATTTCCCACAACAAGTGTCTGGTCATAACAGACTGAGTTTAAACTGGGCCAGGGTGCTGTATTGCTTATGATTTCAACATTTCAATAGTAACAAAAAGTTTGTTTTATTTTCCCTTCAACATATTTTTTCCGTTAGCTACTTTCTCCAAAACTCTAAGGGAACACGGAGGTAACAAAATAAGAGAGGAAACTGAATTGTAAAACCCAAATATGTTCAATAACTCAAAAACACACACCAGCCAGCACTAAAGGCAAACTAAGGACACGTTCTTAAAGCCACTGTCCCGAAATTAACACCAGATGGACACACGATTATGGAATTGTGAATTTCGCACGAAGATGGCCCGGAAATTGGTCAACAGTCAAGCAACAGCCGAAGCAAGTATGATGCCTACAGAAGGCCACACAATGGCACCCGAACCACACACGAAAATATGGTCGTAGACTTTACTGATGATTTAGAATGTATCCAGACTCAACGTAAGAGCTTGTGCCTCTTCGGGGGGTGCTAACATTTAAACATACACTTTATTCTTTACTTTTCCGTCTTTATATGTAGATTAGAAGATATTACTTATCTCCGTCATGTTGTTTCCATAGAAACAACAACTTCCTATCAACAGTGTAAACTCGCCTTCAAAATAAAAGCATCTAAATAAAACAGGAAGTTAACCTAAATTACATTTAAGACATGCAACTGCGACGAAAGTAACAAACACAATGTAATATCCTTTTCAGTTTCACAGAACACAAATTGGGTTATTTACATAATATGTTTACATGATTCTGTTGTGCAATAAATGCAATCTCGATGTCATCGTACTATAATACGATGGCTACATGACGGCATTGCGAGGGCTTCACGTAGTCGTGTTGCCTTCCTAAGACAATCGGGCAGCTTCTTGTTTCCTTCGTATTGTCTTCGTGAGGCGAAAAATGCCCGATGGCACCGATGATCAGACGAAGATGACACGATTTGACAAGATGCCCTCACGAGTGCCTTACGTAGGGCAAAATGGACACACAAATTCAACACGAAAATGAACCTTCGCATGGTCCTTCTGCAATTTGTTGGCATTCCAAAGATTTTGCCACCGCTCGCCAAGTTGCTGCCGGAGCCTGAGAAACTCCACCGGCGGTCATACGATGGCTTAAGATGCCCTCACGAATGGCCCGATGTTGTTACGATCAGAGCCGAATTTGAACATTTCCTTTATCGTGTGTCCATCTGGTGTCAATTTCGGGACAGTGTGACGCGGGCTTAGAAGGAAAGAAAGAAGCAATGGTAAAATGAGATAATATACAATACCACTTCTCACACAGAGTAAGACAAGCACAAACACAATGTTACATGACTCCTTACGACAAAAACTGATTGTGATCTGGACCCATAGAGCACACACTGCATTCTCTAAGCCCTGGCTCCAATTAGCAGTCCCACGGCCGTTCTCAGCTCTGTCGAAAGAATGGAGAGGAACTTGTTATTCTTGTACATTGACCTTCAAAATGCTACTGTGACGAAACAATTTCCCAACTTGGCATAAGTAAAGTATCTATCTATCCATCTATCTATCTATCCATCTATCTCTCTCTCTATCTATCTCTCTATCTATCTCTCTAGGACAGAGTGGGTAAGATGAGCCAATTTGTACTTGTGTTTTCATCTAGGCAAGGAAAAATGAGATAGAAGTTAAATGAAAACAACAACCTTTACTTCAGGATGTATTCCGGAAATCAAAATGAAAATAATGCATCTATCACAAAGAGCCATGAAAATATGACTTCTCTTATGGCTTAACTTGCCTCATCCAAAGGGTAAATTGATCTGAGTCAAGGGGTAAATTGATCCACCGTGGGCAAATTGACCAACAGACTTTTTCAGGTTAAAACCTGAGTTGTTTGGTACAGGAATATTGTTTCTGTCTGCTAATTCAAAGCCAGTTCACAGCATTTCTTCATCTATGTTGAACATGAAATGATTGGCCCTTACCAATGGAGGTGAGGGAACATTACAATAATTACTATTTTAATCAACCTTATATCTCCATGTTTTTTTCCTTCAGATCTACGTCCAGACCCGTAACCCTGCCAACCTGAACATGCACATGGTGAAGGATGAGTACCCTGACCGCCCCCTGACTCTAGAGGGCGCTCTGGGCAAGAAGAAGCACTACCAGCAGTTCCAGCCGGTGGTTACGCTGGCCAAAGGCTACACCATCCACTGGGACCAGGCAGCACCCACTGAGGTCACCATCTGGCTCATCAACTTCAACAGGTCAGTGTCCACACACACACACACACACACACACACACACACACACACACACACACACACACACACACACACACACACACACACACACACACACACACACACACGTACGCACGTATTTAACAGAAAATAAAATGGCAACAAATGTACTCAAATGTCAACAGTTTTCATTGACTAAAATAAGACTAAAATGCTCAGACTTTTAGTCGACTAAAACTTGACTAAATAAAAACAGGATGAAGGTGACTAAATATGACTAAAACTAAAAAGGACATTTGACACATGACTATGACTAAGACTAAATAAAAAAATAACTGACAAAATTAACACTACATAGCCACTACTACCACCTAACTCCACAAATATCCAAAAACACATCGTTTTTCTAGAACAGATTACAAATCGCCTGAAAATGTGACGAAGGTGTTGTGCTGGGCTGTATCATGCAATTGAAAGTGAAACTTAAGCTCGCTCCATTGCGGAGATATTCCCGCGAGAGTGCGGAAAACTTTAATTAATTAATTAATTTAAAATGTGAAATGTTACCATTATACTCACGGACCACTAGGGGCGCTCACGGACCACACTTTGAGAAGCACTGATCTAGATGAATGCGACGAAGCAATTCATGCCGTTTTATTGTTTTTAACGTTGAAATGACAAGTGCAACAGGTGAAGATGAAGTTGTTGCAGAATTGTTGTGAAACCCTTTTCAAGACGACAATTCAGTGAAAAGACGGACATTATAATGCCGCGGAGGGGGGGGAGGGGCGGCGGCGGGGGGTGGGTGTGTCTACAGAAGGTCCAGTTGTGATAGACACGGTTTGCCACTGTCATAAACAAATACCGGAAACAGACCGAAAACTTAAAAAAAAAATAATAATAATACTTTATTCCGAGTGTGCTTGCTTTTCTCTTTGAAAGTCATCACATAACGGCATTGTAATACACCGTTCGGCTGCATTAAATATTACATATCTGCCGTAGTTCTGTATTTATAGAGCCCTGATGAGAAGACTTCTAGACAAACAGGAGGAACCGAAAACGTGATGTGGATCATAAATATATCAGCAATTAAACAACATCTTACACAGGGTTGCCAACTCTCACGCATCTGGCGTGTGACACACGCTTTCACTCTCAATCTCACGCTCTCACGCTGCCCAAACTATTCTCACGCCAAAAACAAGATGAACCGGCGATCGTTTTTGGTTGGTTATTTACAATGTTGAGTTGACAGCTGCTCAAGCTGTTGGTCCGCTCCCTCCCCGCCCACACTACTTAACAACGTTAACAGACAGCAGAGAAGTGGGAGCGAGTGGGAGCCGGTTTGCCAATCCCCGACCCGTATTGCGCATGCGCAGATCTAAGATCCAGTAGAAATGATAACAAGTAAAAGTCTGCTGCTTATTGGCCAAAATAGAGTCAAAGAGTATATGAGAGTGAGAGTGTGTTAATTAATACATTTGGCAGTTTGGAGTAAGTCTGTAGATTTGTTTGTGTGCGTGTGTTTCATGTATAGGCCTCTCACGATAATTAATTTTGTTGGATACATTTTCCCAGTGGACGAGAGGGTCGCCTCCCTACGCCTGCGGGTTATGGGGGGGAAAACTCTGACTGTTGTGTGTGCTTATGCACCCAACAGCAGTTCAGAGTATACGGCCTTCTTGGAGACCCTGGAAAGAGTCCTGTATGGGGCTCCTGAAGGGGACTCTTTAATCTTGCTGGGAGACTTCAACGCACATGTGGGCAATGATGGAGACACTTGGAGGGGCGTGATTGGGAGGAACGGCCCCCCTGATCTGAACCGGAGTGGTGGTTTGTTACTGGACTTCTGTGCTAGTCATGGATTGGCCATAACAAACACCATGTTCGAACATAAGGATGCTCATAAGTGTACGTGGTACCAGAGCACCCTAGGCAGAAGGTCCATGATCGATTTCGTTATCGTATCATCGGACCTGAGGCCGTATGTTTTGGACACTCGGGTAAAGAGAGGGGCGGAGTTGTCAACTGATCACCATCTGGTGGTGAGTTGGGTCGAGTGGCGAGGGAAGCCTCTGGATAGACCTGGTAAGCCCAAACGTGTAGTTCGGGTGAACTGGGAACGTCTGGAGGAGGCCCAAGTTCAGGAGGCCTTCAACTCACACCTCCGGCGGAGCTTTTCGGGCATTCCTGTGGAGGTTGGGGACATTGAACCAGAGTGGTCGGTGTTCAAAGCCTCTATTGCCGAAGCCGCGGCGGGGAGCTGTGGTCTCAAGGTCCTAGGTGCCTCAAGGGGCGGTAAACCCTCGAACCTCCTGGTGGACACCGGTGGTCAGGGAAGCCGTCCGACTGAAGAAGGAGGCCTTCAGGGATTTGTTATCCCGGGGGACTCCCGAGGCAGTTGCAAGGTACCGACAGGCCCGAAGGGCAGCAGCCTCATCCGTGGCCGAGGCAAAGCAGCGGGTGTGGGAGAAGTTCGGAGAAGACATGGAGAAGGACTTTCGGGCGGCACCAAAGTTGTTCTGGAAAACTGTCCGACACCTCAGGAGGGGGAAGCAGGGAACCATCCAAGCTGTGTACAGTAAGGATGGGACGTTGTTGACCTCAACTGATGGAGTGTTAGGGCGTTGGAAGGAACACTTTGAGGAACTCCTGAACCCGACAACTCCGCCCTCTATGTTAGAGGCAGAGCTGGAGTATGACGGGGGATCAACACCAATCTCCCGGGGGGAGGTCACTGAGGTCGTCAAACAACTCCACAGTGGCAAAGCCCCGGGGGTGGATGAGATCCGCCCGGAAATGCTGAAGGCTCTGGGTGTTGAGGGACTGTCATGGTTGACACGTCTCATCAACGTTGCGTGGAAGTCGGAAACAGTACCGAAGGAGTGGCAGACCGGGGTGGTGGTTCCCCTATTTAAAAAGGGGGATCAGAGGGTGTGTGCCAATTACAGAGGCATCACACTACTCAGCCTCCCCGGGAAAGTTTACTCTAAGGTACTCGAAAGGAGGGTCAGGCCGATTGTCGAACCTCAGATTGAGGAGGAACAATGCGGATTCCGTCCTGGTCGTGGAACAACGGATCAGCTTTTTACTCTCGCAAGGATCCTGGAGGGGGCCTGGGAGTACGCTTATCCGGTCTACATGTGTTTTGTAGACTTGGAGAAGGCGTATGACCGAGTTCCCAGGGAGTTACTGTGGGAGGTGCTGCGGGAGTATGGGGTGAGGGGGTCTCTACTCAGGGCCATCCAATCTCTGTACTCCCAAAGCGAGAGCTGTGTCCGGGTCCTCGGCAGTAAGTCGGACCCATTTCCGGTGAGGGTTGGCCTCCGCCAGGGCTGCGCTTTGTCACCAATCCTGTTTGTAATATACATGGATCGGATTTCGAGGCGTAGTCATGGGGGAGGGGGTCTGCAGTTCGGTGGACTAAGGATTGCACCACTGCTTTTTGCAGATGATGTGGTTCTAATGGCTTCATCGGTCTGCGACCTTCAGCACTCACTGGATCGGTTCGCAACCGAGTGTGAAGCGGCTGGGATGAGGATCAGCACCTCCAAATCTGAGGCCATGGTTCTCAGCAGGAAACCGATGGACTGTCCACTCCAGGTAGGGAATGAGTCCTTACCCCAAGTGAAGGAGTTCAAGTATCTCGGGGTCTTGTTCTCGAGTGAGGGAACAATGGAGCGTGAGATGGGCCGGAGAATCGGAGCAGCGGGAGCGGTACTGCAGTCGCTTTACCGCACCGTTGTGACGAAAAGGGAGCTGAGCCAGAGGGCAAAGCTCTCGGTCTTCCGGGCCATTTTCGTTCCTACCCTCACCTATGGTCATGAAGGATGGGTCATGACCGAAAGAACGAGATCGCGGATACAAGCGGCCGAGATGGGTTTTCTCCGCAGGGTGGCTGGTGTCTCCCTTAGGGATAAGGTGAGAAGTTCGGTCATCAGGGAGGGACTCGGAGTTGAGCCGCTCCTCCTTCGCGTCGAAAGGAGCCAGTTGAGGTGGTTCGGGCACCTAGTTAGGATGCCACCTGGGCGCCTCCCTAGGGAGGTGTTCCAGGCACGTCCAGCTGGGAAGAGACCAAGGGGTAGACCTAGGACCAGGTGGAGGGATTATATCTCTTCGCTGGCCTGGGAGCGCCTTGGGATCCCCCAGTCAGAGCTGGTTGATGTCGCCAGGGAAAAGAAAGTTTGGGGCTCTCTGCTGGAACTGCTACCCCCGCGACCCGATCACGGATAAGCGGGAGAAGATGGATGGACATTTTCCCGGAAATTATTGCGATAAACGATAATATTGTCGGCACAGGCACACAATAAAACAGTGGAAACAAACATGTGTTTGACTTTCATTAGTGATTGAAACTGTGTGCCCTTTATAGTCTGTCCAATATTGTGTATTTGTATATATTGTATATCATATATATCCTGCTAAGGTCCCGCTGCTGACACGATAGCAGTCATTTCGTGCGCATATGTATAATTAAACCCATGATATCAAAATCTCACTCCAGCCAGGCACCCAAAGTTGGCAACCCTGTCTTACATTTCTTTTCACACAATACGTCTCCTTGCAGTATCAACACTAATTCGGCTGACTTTTATATTTGATCCAATTGGTAGATAGGCTGTATTTACACCATAAAGGTGCACAGCTGATATAAAGGGACACCTAGTGGTTAAAGCATGTTATTGAATTTCATTATTTGTATTATTAGATATTAATAGGATCCCTATAAAGTATATTCATTACTCGTTATTCTCTACTATTAGTTAATTAAAGACTGTATATAATGACTATTTTGCACATCCCTTTCAAGATTTCAAGATTTTCTAAGGTTTATTGACATATCATATAGGCCTACACAACTATGGTGTAGTTATGCAATGAATGAAAAACTTGGGTCGCAGGTTCCTCAATAGTGCATTACAAGACATCTATCAATATGTGTGTATACCTCCAGCAATGTTAACTATGTTGAAGCACTTATTTTAACTGATATTATACATATGTATTATACTCTTATA